CTTTGTAACGCCCCCGATCATCGGGTAACGCCCTTTGACCCTAGGATGGCCGATCCTAAGTTCTAGAAACGGATCAAGGGACTCGGGACCAACTGTCCGCGGATCAGTTTACCCGTACTAATCAGAACTAGAGCTTTGCAACTCGGAATCAACTAGCACGGTTGGTTCGATCTGGAAAAGATCAGCGCAGCAGTGTCACTTGCGAGCGTTTGGAAAACATTCGTTCATACTTAGCATATATTACATACGGAAAAACCTTGGCAAACTATATACGTCGGATCCGAGGTTCAAAATCGTACATAATACATACTAAGAAATTTGCAGGATCAACAGAAAAACCTACTCTGGCTTCCCTAAGTCCAATGTGGCCCGCTACAAGCTTTTCCCCTAAGGTTACCTGCAGGAAAAAATGTCATGGGATGAGCAATTTGAAAATTACTCAGTGACGTGATGCAAGTCCTAAGTTAACCAACCGAACCATCATGCCTATATGAAACCATCCTATGGGTCCTGTGCCGACCCTTCCACTCACGGCTCCGAACTGGAATGCAAGACACAAAGTCTTCCAACATCCCGAGTTCTATGGATCCTTGTTACCCACCTGAACTCCATACACGACTGAGCCCCGGTCGTATATCACGGCCTATGGGCGCGACCCACATACTTCCGTGACGTGACTTAATCACGACTTCTTCGGACAACGCGGGATCATTACATCATGCCTCCACCCGCATGATGCGCACACAACCTAACAATACTAGGCTATATGCAACATGATCACAACACCTGGTGCACAACCGATGGCCTAACACAGCAGCGCTCATATCGTCCTACAAAAACACTAGCAAGCAGTGAATCCATTTGCTCTAACCAGCATCAATAAGTTCCAGGACAAAGCAACCATGCAAGCACAAGAAGTCAACCAACGAGACATGAACTTAAATAAACATGAGTGACTTATCCTATATGATCAAGCTCAACAGAAATCACATGCAAGGAAAATAAACATGCAAGCATTATAACAGCAAGCAACAAGCAACCCACGGTGATTCTACTCATCAACCCACTGAGACCCTACTCACACATTAAGCTGTTCGGACACTAGAAACTGTCTAAACACGCGGGTTCCGAAGCTAAGGGCAGTGTCGGATCGGTGGGCACTATTATTGATTTCGGGACAAGGGTGGTTTGGGGGTGTGGTTCAGTGTGAGAATTGTTCAAGGGAGGCTCTCCTTTTATAAGGGGATCGGAGGTCTATGTCGCTGACACCTGCTGACACTTGTCGCCGGGTTAGGACGGGTGTCCATGCCCTAGAATGCATGGGCGACGACGGGTGTCAGTGTAACCCGAGCTCGGCGTGGGTCCTTTCCGTCCAGGAATTTTACCAACTACCTGAGGAGTGGACGTGGCTCACTCTCAGCCACTAACCAGACTAGGTCGCGGTCCAACCTGGATCAGTCCTGGGAAGATGTTCTCGTCTCACACTCGGGTCCTTAGTCCCGTGGTGAGTGATCTTTGGTCCCGCAGTACGGATCCATCGTACTGATGCTGTGATACCTAGACGGTGGTTTGGGTCCAATTTTTTTTTCCTGGCCAACTGATTTTTCTCCGGTTGTTACTTAACTTATTTTGCGCTAACGCTTCCTTCTATAACTGTTCTACTTGGCTTCTTGTCACCATAGTTACCCGAGCGATCGACCATAGTCCTGGTGCGGGTTATAACAACGTGGATGTAAAATTCCAAATCCTACCATTTTAGATTGTC